ATTATATTAAAGTAAAAAAAAAAAAAGATAAAAACATGTATAATAATAAAAATAATAATGAAGGCTGTTTAACAAAGTAAAATTTTTTTACATAGTTTTTTTAAAGCTCATCAATCTGTTTGTATTACAATCACTTCATAAAATTAGTGCAACCTATACTTAAGTTTAAATAATTGTTTTCTTGTTAAAATACTGGGAATTTAAGGTGAAATTTTTTTCATTTCTCATTAAAGTTTTGTGAAGTGTAGCTTTATTGTGCAAACAACCTTTTTTGTATTACAGTAATTTAAAGGTACAGCAAATACTGCCATGACATAAATAATTTACAATCGGAATAATGTATTATTTGCTTTTATAATTTTTTATTTTTCTCATGTTTTTCCTTGTTACAATAACGAGAAATTAAGGGTAAAATGTGTTACGTTTTTTAAATTTTCACAATTCAGAAAGTCTTAATGGTCATAACATAGGCCTTATTTTCTTTTAGCAAAACATGTCTTCCTTACGGTGAATTTGTAGTGAAATATGGTGTCCTTGACCGGTTTTGAAAGATCCACAACATTAGTGCCGTTACAAATCCAAAATGGAAAAAAAAAAGATGAAAAGAAAAGAATGGCTGTACAAGTTCATTTAGTTCAATAGCTCAAATGTCAAGAAAATGACATTTCATGTCCTGGTCTTGACAATTTAGCAGAGCAGCCTTTTATTTATTGATCTATTATTCCTCCTCAGAGACAGGATTATGGGAAGAGACGCTTCCCTACAGAGAACAAGATTAGATTTTCTTTGTAAGAAAAGGTTCAGTTCATTTTCTAGGCATGTTTTGGATGTCACTACTTAAAGGAGACTTGTTTTTGTCAAGAAGCTGAAGACTCTCTGCTCTGCTCTGTTGTGCAGAACAGATCCTTGACTTTGGTTCTCTTAAAAGATCCGCTCAAGAGTGTTTGTTCCTTGCACACATCATTAGACCTTTGTGTGCTTTGCTGGGCAGCCTAGAGCTCTGTGTCTACTCCAGTTGTTACTTTGTTTCTAAGTTTCGTCCAAAGAATCTCCGGAGATGAAATGAAACACCCTTTTGTCCTCTCATGTTTTCAGGATTGGAACCGGACATGGCAAACACACAATCCAGACCTGACACCATGTTTCCAGAACACAGTGCTGGTTTGGATACCCTGCCTCTACCTCTGGCTGTTTGCACCGTTCTACATCCTATACCTCAAAAGGAATGACTGTGGATACATATGCATGACCCACCTCAACAGAGCCAAAACAGTGAGTATTAACAAACAGGATTCCGGTACAATGCTTTTTATGTAGCAGTGTGCTTTGGGAGTGTGTTTACTGGTAACCTAGGTCAACAGCTGTTTCAAGGTCATGTGACTCTCCTCCAACAGGTTATTGGGTTTACCCTATGGCTTATCTGCTGGGCAGATGTTTTCTACTCTTTCTGGGAAAGAAGCCATGGTGCTGCAATAGCCCCAGTTTACCTAGTCAGCCCCACAATGCTTGGCGTTACAATGGTGAGACCCGGTTTTCACAAAAGGAAGCGCTAAATTTAACTACTTTGCTTGTCAATTACTCTTCGCTCTGCATTGATTTCATTTTCAAATGACATGAAAGTTTCCTGTATTCTTGCCTCGAGCAAAAGGAAACAAGTCAAACAAATTCTCCCATATATCATATTATTGTTTATAGTTTCAAAAGTTGTCTAGTCATGTTTTTTTCCTAGCCTGATGTTTACAAAATTGAAGTGTTTTGTAATTGGATGTGTTTTAGTTGCTGGCTACGTTCTTGATCCAGTATGAGCGGATGAAGGGGGTCCAGTCCTCAGGGGTGATGCTCAATTTTTGGCTGATCGCCATAGTGTGCGCTACAGTCACCTTTCGCTCCAAAATCCTGCATGCACTGAATGAGGTAAATATGAATTTTGCATTAAAACGGACAGTTTTGCAGTTCATGTAGTAATATATATTTTTTAATTCAGTGTGATTCAGATGTAATTTATTTAGTTTTTTGTAGTCTAAATGGCTAACAAGCATGTGTAATAAGATATTTACAAACCCGAGCCAATCCACATTCATAAGTGATTCCAAATCAGATTAAAATTAGATTTTTTGGGGGCAATTCACCTCAGTCTGAATTGGCAGATCACATTTTAAGTAGTTTTTTCGTCATTTGGAATGTGTTGTATGTAATGTCTGAATACACTAATTTTTGTTCACTCTTTCCTCATATAGTGAACTGTGTAATAGAGAATTGTGTATGAGCGAATTAATGAATCGGCAGTTTTAGATGCAGTAAATGGATGAATGTGTAAAATGTCTCTGTCGCTCGTGATCTCTCATGCGCCACGTGGGTTCTGCACCGCAGCAGAGGCCAAATTTCCTGTCCCTTCCCACACTGACAGCTACTCTTCAGTTTCTGTAGAAGAAAGATTCTCAGTATTATGTTGACTGTTACATCATTAATATAGCAACCAATATATAATCATTGATATACAGGTGCATAACAAAACAAATTTTTTTGGTAACTTATTTCAAAAAGTCAAACTTTCATATATTCTAGATTCATTACATGTAAAGTAAAACATTTCAAATTGCACATTAGAGCTTACAGCTCATGAAAGTCAAAAATCCAGTATCTCAAAATATTAGAATATTTCCTAAGATTAATCAAAAAAAGGATTTGCAAAACAGAAAAAAAATTATTTTATAAAAAAAGTTCTTTAAAGTATGTTCATTTACGCACTCAATACTTGGTCGGGGCTCCTTTAGCACAAATGACAGCCTCAGTGAGGGGGGGAAGCGATCAGCCTGTGGCACTGCTGAGGCACTATTGAGCCTTCAGCTCGTCTGTATTGTTGGATCGACTGTTTCTCATCTTTCTCTTGAAAATATCCCATAGATTCTCTATGGGGTTCAGGTCAGGCATGTTGGCTGGCCAATCAAGCACAGTAATATCATGGTCAGCAAACCACTTGGAAGTGGTTTTGGCACTGTGGGCAGGTGCTAAGTCCTGCTGGAAAAGGAAATCAGCATCTCCATAAAGCTTGTCATCCGATGGAAGCAGGAAGTGCTCCAAAATCTCCTGGTAGACGGCTGCATTGACTTTGGACTTGATAAAACACAATGGACCAACACCAGCAGACGTCACGGCTCCCAAATCATCACTGACTTCAGAAACTTCACCCTGGACTTCAAGCAGCTTGGATTTTGTGCCTCTCCAGTCTTCCTCCAGACTCCAGACCTTGATTTCCAAATGAAATGCAA